CCTACGTAGTTTCATGTGGATGAGTTGTTTCCGTCAAGATGTAAAAATAAGTTAGGTGGATTAATTAAGTGTTATTTTCTAAAATACCCCTATAATTTTATGAATCTATTCAAACCTATCCCATAATTTGCATTTTATTAAAATATCATCTAGAGTAGATGTGTTAGGATAAATAATTATGGGGCATGTCCTTGAACATTTTTTATGATAATGTTATTATTTCCAAGTGGTAAAATAAACATTTCTTAATAAAAAAATGGTTAAATAAGTAGATTATAAATTATAAAAAATAATTTAGTAAAATGAAAATTATAGAATAGGTTTAAATAGATTGATGAAATTATAGGGAGTGTTCTAATAAATGGCCCATTAATTAATAAACAAACAAATTGGTGCCATCTCTTTGCTTTCTTTGTTAATCAGGTAACATCCTAATAATGAGTAATGGGCACTTACGTATCCACTTAACAAACAATACAGGTAAGTGGTAACCGCTTGATGATCTTCACCACCCAACAGATGTATCCATTCCAAATGCAAGAGAAAATTATCCATTTGCCCATAAGGCCTTATTTGTCTATAATACAATTTCATTTGCTTTGATACAAAAAGTACAGAAGTGCAAATGAGTTAGAGTCCAATTTTGGTTTAATTTCGTTATAGGCTTCACTTTGTTTTGTTTGTTTATAGTGCAGAAAAGCAGAACAAAGTAAAATCAAAAACAAAATTAAAGCAAAATTTGCAAAATTCTCATTTGCACTCCCATTCATTTGAGTATCCACATGCATTGTAAGTTATAGGAATATAGTATGAGCTAAGTTGTTATATTGTATATTATATGCATTCAACTATATATATGATAGTGGAAAGACATGATATGGGAAAAACTTACAACCAATCAAATGACACTAGTCAAGGTTTTTAAAATTGAATCAGACAATAAATCGTTCAAGAGTCCAGTTCTCGGATGGAATGGTTTGACTGTTCGAACCGAACGAATGACTTGTTCTGACAAAAAATAAAAGACAATTAAAAAAAATTAAAAACAGCCAAAAACTGTTATTCAGGTTAATGGTTCGAATGGTTTGACCGTCTAAGTCAATAGTTCACTAACCAAATCAATGGTTTTTGACCACTGGGATAAAATGGAACCGGTCAAATAATCAAATCCTAGTTTTTATGGTCCAACCGTCCAGTCCAATTTTAAAACATTAACATTAATAACCAATCAAATGAATTTTTATCAAAATTCACAGGATTATGACTGATCAAAATTTTTCCTATAACACGTCTTTCCCGCATCATAAATTTTCTCATATTACAGGCATCCAAGCATCTTGAAAGATACAAAATAGTACAACACAAAAGACAATCAGCTGCTTAATCTTTCCATTCTTACGTTTGATTTGTAGATAAAGTTCAATCTCAGGCATGACGACTCAACAACTCCCAATGAGTCCACCGAACCACTTAATAATAATAATAATAATAATAATAATAATAAATAATAATAATAATAATAATAATAATAACAATCCCGATGCTTCATCATGCGAATAATTTAATTCATTTCTCTCTTCGCAATTTTGCATCCTACTCATTTATGTATTTCTCCTTGTCTTGCATGTGCCCCTCAACTAAAATCAGTATAATTACTCTCTTTCGGATCCTTTCGACGAGTCACCAGTCACCAGTCACCAGTCACCAGTCACCAGTCACCACCACTAGTTGGATTGTCGGTTGGCTTTATTTTCAATTTTCAAAACATTAATCGCAAGTGTGAATAGATTGATCTTTGAACCAATAGCCACGTGGCAACTTCCGAACTTTTCATCAATCTGTCAGGAATATATTTAGTATTTGGAATATTTTCTATAGCATTTCATTTAACGCCCCGCACACGTGTGCATTATTTGAAGGAATGTTTCCTTGGTAGTTAGTATTATAACTTGTGAGAAGAATGGCAAATCATATTACTAGAAAATCAAAATATCAAATATAACAATTTTTAACGCTGTGTTTGGTTTGAAGGAAAAAGTAAGAAAAGGTAAGAAAATCTTTATAAATCTTATATGAATTTCACTACCTTTTCCTTCTTTTTCTTACCTTTTCAGTCAAACCAAACATATAATTGGTTTTCTTACTTTCTTTTCTCTTTTTATGGTTTTCAAAACCGAATCAGAACACACCGGATGGTTGGGTCAGAAAATTGGGAACCAGTCAGGTGACCAATTCTGTTTTATTTTAGAACCGTTATTTTTTTCAAAAATTATTGATTTGGTCAGCAAACCACTGACCTGGACAGTCAAACCGTTCGAACCATTCAACGGTTTGACCAATTTTTTTTATTTTTTATTTTTTGTCAGAATGAACCATCCGTTTGATTAGAATGATCAGACTGTTTGACCCAAGAACTAAACCCCTGACCGGTTCATTATCCGGTTCAATTTACAAACGTTGCCTTTTTTTAGTGCAATTAGAGAGGATTAACAACCCTCGTTTTCGTTGTCAAGAAATAAAAAATGCAGATGATGCAGCTACTAGGACATTACAGCCAAAAGGGTTCCCATCCCATGTCCTTCTCTTGGTTCCGTGAAATGGATGTGCATAATTATTTTATTGTTCAATTTTGATGCGTTGTGAAATGGATGGACTCGAATCGAAAATCACTTCGAGTCAAAACGCACGATTTGGTGGGTTTGGTGACGATTTTTTGTCATTTATAAAATTTAGGGCCATTACGTGAAAGAAAATGAAAACTAAACGTATTAGAATAAATTACAATGACCCTCTTCTAGTATGGGGTTAATAACAACAAACATCCTCTAAACTTTAATTTTCAACAAAAACCCCACTGAATTTTCAATTAGGTTCTACTTGGTTTTAAGGAAAAAGTAGAGAAAGGAAAGGAAAGGTAGAGAAACCCACATATACAAAGTTTGTAAAAACTTTCCTACATTTCCCTACTTTTTCCTTTAGACCAAAAATAGCCTTAGCCATAAATACCTCTCGGACCATTAAATTAGATTATGTAATTTATATTAATTATCAAAATGCCTACCTAAACTTCCTTCTTTCTTTTTTTCTCTCTCTTTTCTTTCTTAAATCCTAATCGACAAAAAAACACCTCTATTTTCTCCAAACGAAACCAATTAAAATTACAAGAACTAGAACAAAAAAAGAATTTTCCAAAATTTTCAATTCATTTCACTCACATGAATGTCTCTTATCATCTTAAATTTTAAAAATTATCCACACCTTTCTCCAATAAATCAATAAAACCAAAATAAAATCATAAATTTATACCTGTCAAAATGAAAACTCTACTATTTCATTTGAATATTTAATCTAACGTGAAATCTATAAGGATCTATTAGAACAAACTAGAGGGTTTTAATGTTGATGATGCGCGATTTGATTACTCCCTGCTAAAAGGCAGCTCAGATGTCGGTCTAAGTGTCTAACACGTGGTCGGTCGAACTTCAAGAAAAACAGTATTAGAGGTCCCGGGGTGCTTTACCCGGTGTGGACACTCCAATGCTTAAGTTTAAGTTAGCGAAGAGTGTTGTAGCGAGCTAGTTTGCTTGTAAGTATGAGAGTATAAGAGTTAAATCGCACGTACCTTGCGAGGCTAAAGGTGATGCCCTTATATAGGCGAGCTGTCGTAGGCCTCAAGAAACATATCCGAGATCTCCGACTCACGTAACCAGGAGTCCGTTTTGCACCCAAAGATAGACTTTGTGTGAGCTGATAAGGCTTATCGAGTCTGTTTGACTCGGGCGAGATAACGATAAGGCTTGCTAACATGCGGTATGATCTCAGAGAGATTGGAGACGGTTGGCTAGCTTATAGAAAAGGGTTATGTGACACCTCAACAGGTCGGGACACCACAAGCTGCTCAGACCTTGGTATTAGCCGAAGTGTCCAAGGTGCCCGAGCTGACCTGGCCTGGTGAGGTGTTCAAAAATGTTGAAATATCATCTAATCATCAGGTCATTTCACGTCTGTGCGTAATAACGGATCGAGCCAAATTACCTCTCATCAAATGTTATATTTAGAAAACTAATCAAAATCATAAATCATTTAAATAAATAATTAAGAGAAGGATAATTTGGGGGTTTAAAAACCTTTAAACAATGAGAATCTTTTTCGAATTTAACCGACTGAAGTCTAACGAAAGAAAATATTTATTACAATGTGAAAGTTCAAATACGCTTTTTCAGGGGGTATTTGTCACTGACTCGTGGCAAAGGGTTATAGTCGAACCCTGTAATAATTCTTCATCTTACAGACCGGTCAACTCAGCACCTCGTTTTCGTGTGTAACATGGGATTTGTGCATCGTGTGGGACCCACTGTATTGGGACTGGAGAAATGAATTCACTGCAAGAACAGATTCACGGTGCACGGGAAGCTGTGAAGCTGTTTCTCAATTGGACAGTTTTGATCCAATCCGATCCACTCCAATGTACAAATAGGCCATGTCAAATTTAGTTCAATGAATATTTTAGATCATTTTGGATCGTCTAATCTGTTTAAATTTATTTTAATTTAGATTGGTTTCAATTCAAACCCGCGATCATTGACACATATTATTAGAATCAGATATTGACTTAACCAAATTCAACCCAATTCAATATAAATTTATTACGAATGGACCCGGTCCAATCAAATCTAATAAATGTTTTGGACCGGATTGGTCGAATTAAAGTCTGTCCAATCCGTCCAAACAGTCCAAAACCGGTCCATTGACACCTTATGGCCTTATCCAATACGGAGTTGACCAACCCGACGCTTAGAAAATAAGTTAGTATTGCTCCAGTCCAGTCAAATAAATTTCTACGACTATAAGTTGCGTGTCTACTTCTGCCATCCTCTCTCTCTATCTCCCGTTGAACATTTTTACAATTATTTCTTTTCTTCTGTTATGGTTGGCTTAATATGGTTGGGTACGTCATCCTCCATTCCTCCTGTGTCTCTACAGCATCAGCAGGTGAAGCATTCTCATCTCAGCCATTGTGTTGGTCGAGGAAGTAACCGATTAACATGGGTTTTCCGAGACTTATGACCGGTAATTTAGCCGAGGGGAACCACCACCCCATACCCCCTGCCCCTCCTCCCTCTCGTTTGTCCATATTTCGCGGGAATTCTCTCTCCAGCTGACGATTCCACAATTCATAACCTCCACTGTTATATCTCTTTCATCAGCTCATCTTTATTCCTTTTTCTTTTTCTTCATTTTGCCTTTTTTTTTTCCTTGTAAAATTTTTTAATAAGATTTCTCGTTTGTTTAATGAATCCCCATCGTCATAAAAAATCACAACCATTTGAGTTTTTAATCCTTATTTCAGTCCTGGTATTAGTTGCAGTAGGTAAGGCTGATGATCTCTGGCGGCAATTTCATTTGAAAAGGATGTTGGGCTTTAATGACAGAAGGAGACAATTATTAGGTAGATTTCTGTCGTTGGGTTCTGTTTATCGTTTTCCACTTTTCCTTCTTTGGAAGCCTTTCAACATAACGGGTTCTAGGTTCCATCGCTGAGATGATATGTGCCTTTCTCTGTTTCTGTTAATCCATCGAGAAGATGAGACATTCATCTCGGGATGGGTTTGTCTAGAACTATATATTTTTAGTCTGTCCTTTTATTTTTAATTCCAAAGCTTGTTAATAGCTGCTATTAAATAAACAGGGGAAAGCATTTTCAGAATGTCTTGCATTGGGGAGTCATGGCTTTGTTCTGTTTGTCCTAATTTGAGTCTGTAAATGCTACAAGGGGGGGAAGTAACTCTAATGACCTTTTGTTGCAGACACTGGAACCATCATCGTTCCAAGAGCTAGCCTGGTATTAACCAGGACAGACTTGCAGGCATTCTGCAACTTCAGGGAGGGAACAGCAGAGGTTTTGATCGTTTTGTCGTAATTGTGACAAGGGAAGAAAGAATGACAGCATCTACAGAGGATGCCGCAGAGAAGAAGAGCGTGTTGGTGGGCATTCGAATCGACGGATATAGCAGAGACTTACTTAGCTGGGCCCTTGTTAAAGTCGCTGAACCAGGAGATCGCGTGGTTGCAGTTAACGTTTCTCGAAATTCAGGTAATGGTGGTTATTGTCTTCTGTACGATACTTATTGGGAGAAGTTTCATCAGCTTATTTAAACCTGAGAATTTTCAATGGCTTAATCTCTTCAGATCCTCACTCCAAAGATAAGTCCTCGCTGGATGATTATCTGCAAGTTTACAAAGGCCTGTGTGATGTGAAGCAGGTATACCATTTCTATAATTCTGTTTTCATTGTATGAATTTGTTAAGTTCTAATGAGCTTCACCATTCCCATTTCAGGTTGATCTCACAGGCTATATCTCGCGGGGGAATTCGGTTAGGAAAGCATTGGTGAGAGAGGCCAAACAATGTGCTGCCATTGCAGTAGTCGTGGGGATTAACAGGCATCATGCTCTCGGGTAAGTGAATCTGTTGAGGTTTTTTCCTTTTCCTTGAAGTAGTTTGATTTATGATCATGGGAGTCTTCCTCCTTTCCTGAGCAGAAATTCTTTTTTTCAGGGGTTGGGTGTCAATGGCCAAGTACTGTGCCAAATGCTTACCGCCGAATACCGCCATACTGGCTGTCCACAATGGGAAGGTTGTATTTGAAAGGGGTTCGACAAACCAGCTTACAGGTTTGAACTTGATCCGTTCTCTCTATGAATTCAACCATTTGGACAGATTTCGGCAATGAATGAATGTTTTGTTTTTACCCCTTTTTTCAGTTGGCCTAAAAGGAGATCCAAGGCCGAGCTTTTATTCAGTTAATATTTCCAGGCTTAAGAAACAGCCTTCTTTAGTAGACGCAGAGGAGACGGAGATTGAGAAACCCAGTTTGAAAGATTGCAGTTTCAGTATTTCTCATGAATGGGATGAACCACCATCGAGATCATCATCTCTTCGTGTAAGAGATGTGCCAGAATCAATGCCTGGTTGGCCCCTCCTTCGAAGAGCTGTTTCTGCAATTCCTGAAACTATGAGTGATGCTGAAGCTAGAAAAATGTCTGTTGTCCAATGGGTAATGAGCTTACCAAATCGATCCCCCCCACTCACTCCCAAGACCCAGATTGGTTCTGAGAGTGATAAAGAAGAAAATCCTTCTGGAAGAGACAACAGCAATTGTGTGGATAAGAGTCACAGCAACTGCTTATTAGCTTGGGAGAAGGTTCCCCATGAGTTGGAGCTTCTCATCAGGACAAACTCTCCAAGTTGTAGATGGTTCAGCCATAAGGAGCTCAAGAATTCAAGATCTCAGTTCTCATCAGGTTCAGACATTCATCGAGTATAAGGCTTAATTATATAGTTATAGTTTTTGTTTTCTTCATCTGGGTCTCTTTCTAATTATTTGATCATTTCACCAACAGAACATCTGATCGGGAAGGGAGGGTGTAACCGCGTCTACAAGGGCTGTCTTCCCGACGGGAAGTCAGTGGCAATAAAGATCTTGAAATCATCAAAAGAAGCATGGAAGGATTTTGCCTTGGAAGTAGACATCACATCTTCATTGAACCATAAACACATCACACCATTGATTGGGATCTGCATAGAAGACAACGATCTCATCTCGGTTTATAATTTCTTCTCCAAGGGAAATTTGGAGGAAAATCTACATGGTAAAAGCTTCTGTTACTTGCTCCACCTCTCAAATAACTGTTCAATCTAAAAGTTTAAGCTGTTAGGTGAGGTCCCTGAATAGGTTTTTATTCTTTAGACAATCACAGGCCCATCATTCCTTGTGCTTAAATTTAATTAATTATAATGGGATAACAACTTGGTCAATCAAGCTGTGATACTATCTAAAGAAATCGTTCAACAAAACTTAAACTGTTAGGTGAGGTCGCTGGATATGTTTTTACTCTCTGGCATGCTCTTCACACGAAAACCCATCCGACTATAAGCCCACCCACACCTTGTGCTTAAATTTAATTAATTATAATGGGGCAAGAAGAATTGAACACTAAACCACATAATCAAATAAGCTTTGATACCATCTCAATAAACCCTTCAACCAAAAAATTTAAAGATGTTAGGTGAAGTCCAGGATTTCTGGTAAACTTTTACCTCATAAAATGATGGTGACAGGAGTTTAATTCATAAATCAGGTACAAAAGATGGAATTGTACTGTCTTGGGAGGTGAGATTTAAGGTGGCTGTTGGAGTTGCAGAGGCACTAAATTACCTACACAATGATTGTTCTCGGCCTGTTGTTCACAGAGATGTCAAGTCTTCAAATATTCTTCTCTCTGATGACTTGGAGCCACAGGTAGTTCTCTTTCTCTCTCTCTTACCAGATATACAGTGCTCTACTAGTTTGAATCGTTGCACAGAATTTCAACAGAAGTGGTACCATTATCATGCTGTGTCTGCAACAGTTATCTGATTTCGGTCTTGCTGTATGGGCACCGACAACTCCACCTTATTATGAGAGCCACAGTGATGTAGTGGGGACGTTTGGGTATCTCGCACCAGAGTACTTCATGTACGGGAAGGTTAGCGACAGAATAGATGTCTACTCCTTCGGTGTGGTGCTTCTTGAACTGATTTCTGGAAGAAAGGCAATCGGCGGTACAGGGACTACTCCCATGGGACAAGAGAGTTTGGTCATTTGGGTAAGAGTCTACTTCAATTTAAGGTGGTGTTTGGTATCAATTCATCAGTGTTACGTTGGAAAAATCAGTGCTCCGGTCCAGAAAACATTAACATGTTTGAAATTGTTTTTCCATAAAAAATGGTGCTTCAAACTATGTCGTGGAAATTGAGAAGGCGTGGAATTCGATGTTTTCTCAATTTGTAGCTTGTTGCTGCCAATAAAGATATGATGTGACAGTGATATGGACTTCCTATAATGGGTACTACTGTTGAAAACAGATATGGAGCATTAGTACCAGACAGAAGATGTTGCTATTGCCCTAGAAATGTTTTACTTGCAGCAACATCTCCAAACAAAAAAAAAGACAATGTTTTCTAAGAAAATCGTATTATATATGCAACATCGATTCCAAACATATACTAAATTTAGGATATATTTGATATCATCATGTTTATCTTGAAAATCGGGACAAAATCTGATTTTATAGATGTCTTATAAACTAAACAGTAAAAAAGACCCTGAAAATGAAAGATACTATTTGTAACATTTTTTTTTTTCTGATAAATGGTATGGCTCTCACATAAATTGAGAAATAGATTTATTAAATAAAGGGCTCAACCAAACATCTTTTTTGGCGTTTTTCTCCTTAAACGCCTGATGCTCTAAAAAAAGCCCATCAATACTAAACACCATCTTAAAGAAAGATTTCGTCACTTCAGCCTTTCACCTCCAAAGGTCCATTTACTAATGCTTTTGGACATTCCAGGCAAAACCAATACTCAAAACCGGGGATTTGGAAGGATTAGTGGATCCTAATCTGGAAGGAAAATTCGACGAGGCTCAGATGCAGAGAATGGTTCTCGCAGCAGGACTGTGCATTACAAGGACAGCTCGTCTTCGTCCCAATATGAGTCAGGTATCAGTTTATTCCTTGTCAATGGATGCATGGTACATGAATTGTCTCTCTTTCATGAGCTGTATTAATGTTATCTATTTTGGTGCAAACACACCAATGACTTTGTGTAGTACAACTACAACCTCTTAGTTTGATCTTCATCTGCATTATAGGGGTTAGGAATAGGAATGGCAATGGGGAAGTTTAGGGTTGTCAATGGGTCAGGTCTGAGTTGGAACCAACTAAAACCGGAACTGATCTGATAGGAAATACTGAACACTGGAACCAAACCAGAACCAATAGGATCTGTAATTTTCAGACCCAGAACCAAATCGATCAATTCTTGGGAATTTGATTATAATAATAATAAATAAATATGTTTAATATATTAAATATTATATATATATATTATGTTATTATATAATTTATATATATATATATATTATGTATTATATTAATATAGCTCGGGTTGGGTCTGAATCGGTTTAGGATTGGGTGGAAGCGATTCTCAACCAATAATAATCGAGACACTATATCAGGACTCAGTTCCAGTTCCTAGAACCAGAACTAGTCCAATCAATTTGGGTCTATCAGGTCCATCGGGTCGGACCTGACACATTGACTGCCCTAGGCAGGTTTGAGAAGGGTTTTGTAAATTCTAGACCTTTTCCATTTCCCTAAATGTCCTCATTTATACCTGCTGCAGAACCCATGGTAGGTTGGATTTTGAGAATCCAAATCCTCTTCGCATATGAAAATGCAAAACCCCCTCTCACCCTATCCTTTCTGCATTCAAGTGTAGCTTGTAGGGTGGATTGGGTTTAGAATCCGAATTTAATTTCATATTATTTCTTGTTATATATAAGTAATAAATAAATAAAATAATATGAATAAATAATAAAATTTGCAATTATTGGATTAATACATATAAAAAATACATAAACTTCTGATTATCAATATTATTAAATTCAACATTTAATACATAAAATTTATATGATTTCCAATTATATATGGATTGGAGAGGGTAGAATTTATCCTTAATACCATATCCTACCTATACTCAAAACCTGTCTCTACCCCAAAATTCATGGGGCAATTACCCACTGGGTAGCCCTAACTTAAATGAGTGCAGATGTTAAGGCCAAGAAAAATTTATTGACTGGCACGTAACATTTAACTACCAATTTTGATTTCTGGAGACAAATCTTTTTAAGCTCCATGTCTCCACTGTTGAGATTTGGGAGTTGGAATGTCTGGGTAAAGAAAGAGAAATGACACATAATTGGGTGTCACCTATGACAGATAATGAAGCTTCTAAAAGGGGACAAGGATGTGGAGGAGTGGGCGAAATCCTGTGGCAATGTTGGGACAGAGTGGGATAACCAAGATGATGAAGAAGTTTATCCGGAATCAAGTGCTGAGTCACTTCTAGGCCTTGCATTGCTTGATGTGGATGATGATGATGTCACAATTACATCTTTCAGCAGCGTGGACCAAAAGGATTATTTGAAGGGACGTTGGAGTCGTTCATCTAGTTTTGATTAGCTTCAACCTCCAACAACGATTCTCTCTCTCCGTTTAAACAAGTTTTTGTCTAATTTGTAGTTTTGTACATTTGAGGAAAGAAAAAAAGTTGGACCCAATAGTGGGTTTATATTACACGCATCAAGATCCAGCTCTGTAATCTGTTTGTTTCAATGTAAAATTAATTACTGGAAATTTTTTCAGGCTAAAATATTTGGAACTATATTTCCCCATTTACAATTAAAATTAGATCAGAACTAACTGGAAGAGGTTGAATACAAATCTTTTACTGTGAAAGGATAGAAATATTTCAGTTGTAAAAAGTTTACATTTTACAGAAAAAAAAGCACAGCATTAAGAAATAAAAAAGTTGCGCTGGCTTAGGGGAATCCCACCAGCTGCTTAGAAGTTCAAAAACTGCTCCAAATCTGATTTGCCTCGTTTAATAATAAATTAATAATTAATGTGTGTACATATTTTATATGTGACAGTTTTTTATGATTTGAATCCAATCAAATCTAACATTAACAGTTCTAATTGGAGTTCACATCGCCGTCTCACAAGGGGCCGCCCCACAGCACATCCCCACAATGTATTGGAAACATTTTCCGATGACGATATCATCAGTTTTGGTACTATCATCGGGAGATATTCCTAATACACAGCAGGGATGTGCTGTGGGGCATTGTAGGGCGGAGATGTGATCTCTTCTAACTGGACTCTACCGCTATGTTGTATCCCATTATCATACAGCGATTGACACCAAGCTTTACCCCTCCCAACACCCACCCAACGACCTTGTCCCTACCAAGAGAAATGCTTAAATGTGTAATCACCTAAGCTTGTAGGAATACTCCTGTTCTTTTCTAGACCCATTCAAATGTAGTGTAATTGGAGTTTAAAATGTTTTATGACACACATTGGGGTGATCTCATCTGGTCATGTTGTTGAGTTGGCTTAACAATTGGTTCAACCTTAGCTTTCTGTGGGTTAAGATGATTATTATATTTATCCTTTTGAATAAAAGCTTGAAAATGAGAGTTTATATCTGCTGACCACGACACATTACTGACCACACGCATCCTGCCACACATTACATCAGAAACAATGGAACATTGGTTGTACTATAAAACCGAAATTCCCGATGTATAGTTGGATGCGTGTAGCCAGCAATGTGTCATGGTCAGCAGATCCATACTATGAAAAATGATACCAGCTTAACTTTAAGAAACAATTAGAACATGGTTTTGAAAACTGAATCAGACTGAATGGTCAGACGGGTTGACCAGGGAACCAGTCATGGTCAGATAACTGGTTCCGTTTCACTCTTAAACCACTTTTTGATGAAAAACTGATGATTTGGTCAGTTGATCCATTGAACCAGGCGATCGAACCATCGATCCAGACAATGATTTTTGGCCATTTTTATTTTATTTATTTATTATGTTTAAATCGGAACGGGGAATCTGTTTAAACCCAACGGTCAGACCATTCAACCTGGAAACTGATTCCCAAACCGGTTCTGTGTCCGGTCTGGTTTTTAAAACATTGGTTAAAAGATAGAAGCATGGGTGGAAACCAATAGATAACACAATTTCTTGGTACTGCTAGTTTATTATGACCCATGCATCGTAAGGAATGTTCCCGGTTCATAAAATTGGGGCTTGCCTAAAATAGAGCCCCTTTTGTATCATTTCATCTTTTGTTACAAATCCACCATATCACTTCCCACACCAAACCCTCTAAAACTTTGCACATTGGCTATTCCAATCCACCATCCGTATCGTTCACTATTTACATACATTCTCCCGACAGTTCACACTGATAGCCAATGTCTGAAAATGGGAGGCCTTAAACAAAGACATCAATCTATAATGATTGCATATTCTGGGTTTGAGAATCAAAACCTTCGAACAAAAGTTAAGCAACAACAACCCAAAAAAACAATGATTCGCTAAAAACAAACGCACGTCTGAATCTAATAAACTTCCTATTCTGAAAATGCGGATTGAAATTTCCATTGAAACCTATGAATGAATGAATGAATAAATAAACAAAAAACAATGTCTTTTTGCAATGGAAGAAGTTTGAGTGTTTCTGTATTTCTGAAAATTATAATACAGGGCTGGATGCAGAAACAATCAAACTGCTAATTCAAGTCAAATCTAAAGTCAATTAGGTTGGCCCTAGAAAGTAGAAACCAAAATTGCTCTCCAAAAATAAAGCACACCGATAGGCAGAACGCAGAAGGGATAAAGAACATAAAAGAAAAGGCAACACCATACGATACTACGACGCATGCAGCACAAAAACATCATTGAAGCTGCAAATTGAATATTTAATTTGCTTTATATACTGATGACATAAAGAACGAGTTGTGCTTGTGCAGTGTATAACATGAATTTGATCTTTCTTTTCCCTGGTATCAATTGGAAGAAGATGAATTTGCTCTTTCTACAAGCAAACAGTCCGCCCCCTCCCATTCCTTCCCAATCCTCAACATCACCTCTGCCCAAAAACTGTAACGATAACGAGCTGGAGAGGCTGGAGCTATGCGCATGGCGCTGTACTGGTGTAAAACCACCCAGATGTTGACAATATAGAAACCCCAATCGCCAACAATTCGTCTCCACCATCTGGCCAAAATCAAAAAACCTCAAAAAGGAACTGTATATGGCAATGCATATACATCCACCTCCGGCAAGTAACAGGCCTGCGGCCATAGATCTGAGCTTCCACGACACAAACTATCACTATCAACCTTTACTCTCTTTGCCTCGTGCCTGCCATGGGGCTTCACTTCAAAGAGCCAGTCTTGATCATCAAACTCGGCATACTCTCTCTGAATAGGTGGTGGCACCCAATTCTCAACCAGGTCCCTGTATTTTTGTAATTCTTTTTTTATTTTATCTCTTTTAGGGACGCCGCATGTAGAAGATGGGGCCTTGTCCTGGGCAACAATTCCAATGCTGGAAGTGGAGCATGGCAGTTCTATACTGGAACTTGAAGCCTTCACATGACTATTTTGCACAGCAGTAGCAGTCTCGATTCTACACGAAGAAGAACAAGCTTGCTCATTTCCGGATCTATGAGTAACTTCACACCTCCCTTGTGCAACAACATCAGACCCTATAGAATTACAAGAAGAAACTGCCTTGCTGGGTAATGCTTCTGGCTCCTTGTGTTTCATCAAGGGCAACCTAATTCGCAGAATGCTCCCTTTACAATAACAAAAAGAATTTCAAGAATGTCAGCGCCTCCAAGAAACAACAAACCCCATTAAGCACAAGTTGTAGAGAGTGGATAAAAGAAACACACTAACCGTTGTTTTGGCTGCCATCAGAGGGCGAGCTAAGCCTTTTTCTCTTGTGGCTGTTCCCGGTGCTGTCAGAAGAGTCATAGACGTTCTGAGAAACAGCAGCCTGTCCATGATCTTCAGTAAGGACACTCTTCTCCAACTGTTCGCTGTCATCTTGAATGTTCTTCGGATGCTCTCCCCCCTTCTGATCTACTTTGCTCTTCTTGTGCTTCTTTTCGTCATTATGCTTCTTCCCAACCTCCCCCTTGTCCCTGGTTCTGTCTTTCTCCTTCTTTTCTTTCTTTTCTCTCTTCTTCTCTTTCCTTCTTTCTTTCTTAGCCTTGTCCTTTTCTCTCTGGATGTCATAACACCAGGGTAACCATCATTTTGACATACCAAAGCAGCTAGACAAAAGGAAACAAGGCACAACCAAGTTCATGGAGAATACTTGAAATTTCAGGAGAAAACTAAGCTTATTAAGATGCAGCATAAAATCAGTTCAGTTCATTACATTAGGTATTTAGAGATTTACAAGGACTGTATATCCCATACTCCATCCTACCACAGAAAAACTATTCAAGGAGGATGACAAGCAATCCATAGTCAAAGGAGTAAACACACAGTTTGAGTTTAAACTACACTGTTGCAAGACAGTAGGTGCTGAAATCAGAGTGCAGAAAATATTCTAAATTAAGAAAAAAAGAAGCTTTATTCAGCATCCCAATAACTTGAGACCTAAATAATTAGAATCTATTTCACACATGGTTACGATACACTCGATATACGCCCCGTATCGGGCGTATCGTATTGTATCTTTTGAAAAAGATATGCCCCGAAACACCTGTCCACCTGTCCTGTAAACAGGTGTTTCGGAACCCCACCTGCTTTTAATAAAAAAAAAACCTATTTTTAGCTTCCTTAAAAACCAAAATTTGAAAAAGAAAAAGTGTGTTGGGTGTTTCTATGTACCGATACGATACTGGTATTGGCAGTATCGTATCGATACTTTGAACCTTGATTCCACAAAATTAAGCACCACCAAAAACTGAGGTACAGTGGCACAGCTAGTGAGCCCGGGATACCACTTTGCACAAGTCAAAGTAGAAAACTTGGTAGTAACCCAAAGCCATTGAATAGACTAGCATTCCTAAAGCCCCAAACAATATGATCTCAAAGTCTGAAATTCTTATTTGGTCCATTTATTCCTTCCCTGCATCACCATGGCCAACAAATCAACTTCAGAAAATATACTTCTGCTGGAATAAGACCTGCTTGGGAGGAAAAAATCTACTCATCGGACTTGTTTAACTTCATAATAGAGAATGTGAAAGAAATAGGCTACAAGGCTGCAAAAAACTGAAGCAGCTTATAACACAAACTTATCCTTCCTTCTCATGTTTCTGTGCACATCACATATCAAAAAGGTCAACAGGCCAACACCCATCCAATGCCTTTGGACTTTGATCATGGAAATATGCACTCAATATAGGCAGCAAGAAGACAATGCTAACATCTTCAACCCTTCTAATAGCCCAAAAATGTTGATGCCACTCAAAAGTCCTGCCAAAGGCACTATTTGCAGCTAGTAAAGAGATAAAAGTGACCCTGGATAACATAAGATGACTTGTATGCCCCACTTGTATTCAAGCTTACACTACTCGGCCAATTTTTGGTCTATCATCAGACACTCTACTTCCTTGATCCCACCATTTCAGTAATATTTGCTGGAATTGAGGTGCATTTTCAACACCCCTGGCTCCAACTCATTTTTTATGGACATAGGATATTTTCTTTGACACTCCTTGATTTCATATTAGATCCAACACCCGTCCAACTTCAAGTATAGATTTACAGAGGGCCATACAACCATAAAGCTCATAGAAACCCACAATTAGAAACCAATGATGTCATGAAGCTTGCTGCAAACTAAGAAGATCCCGTCCTGAATTCGTATTTATCAAAACCAATCAAAAAGTCAATCCTCTTTAGATTGGGAATCTATAGATTCCAACACTGAAAAAGAATTAAATGTGCAGAAAATCCAGAGTCACTGAACCATAACCTGCATGCACCTCCAGTTGCACAAATCCTGTTTGTATTCACAAAGTCAAATTAAAGCAATCACACCCAATATCAAAAATATAAACCTGAAACTGAAAAGAAAGCTAGTGTAATGCTTTCTCAGGCATGCTAACCAGAACCTGCAACTCATTTATAATAAATGATACATTAATACATGAACCTGAGGCATACACAACAAAATGAAACTGGCATTTCAAATAACATAAACATCCAAAACAATGCCTTGCCAAAAGTTGCGGCTCTATTCATGAAGTTCCCAGAGCCACCTGACTTTGATATTAAGCTAAGTTTCCGACAATGCTATAAACAAGAAACAGCAAGTAATTGTTACACATATGCCTGTTTACACTCTGTAATAGGGCCAAAGTAAGATCATCTTTTGATTACACAGAGAATTGACAAGTAACTCATTGGGGAACCTTGGAGTTGCAGTATTACAAGCAACCCTTGGTAACAAAATTGACATAATGCCGTGAGATACAGCAAGTACTCAGAACATAAAAGTCTGGATATGGTTGCATGTCAAAAAACTTGGTTGGTTGGTTCCCATGTGGCATGTTAATGGGACTGACTTAATTCACACCCTTGAACCAGACAAATAGTAGATACCAATGAATAAAGCTTGGACAACATCATAATGTGCCATCAAAATCACTTCGATTGAAGTATAAAATGGTAGTACAACAGAAAGTGTAGGTAGGAAGAATCCTACTCAAATATATGAAACAAGGCATGTTGAACGTTTATTAAGCAATGAACATGCCCACTTCAGCAACAAGAACAGGGTATCAAATTGCCTTAAAATTAATATTCTAATAAACGCAATAGCATAGCTCTTAAGTTTTATCTTGTAATTAACATTATATAATCATGAAAGAAACCTTATATTGATTTTCCTTTGTCTTAAATAAACTTCTATAACTTATGCACAAGGATAAAAACATGTAGAAATAAAAGGCCCCAACAATGAGCCAAAAGATCCCGAACTTTAGTATCATATGCAACCGATTCAAATAACCACACATCTCAAGCTCTACAGATAAAGCACACTCTCCCTTAACCAAAATCATCCTTGTTTTTTTATTTTCTCTATTTTAAGAGATGTTGAAAGAAAACCATCCTGAAGTCTGTACATACTCCGCAAAGGCCAAAAATAAATGGGTAGGAAGTAAGATCTTCATTGTCCTCCTGAGTTCAAAAACACACATCTATGTAGATCATCCATTACATAATTAACCAATTGCAAATCATATATTCAGTGTACAAAAAGGATAGCCGAGATTCGATTCCAATCACGTTTGCGAACCGAAAAAAGCAGTCGAGCATAAACGCAAAAATCAACACTGCATGAATGCTCAACAAACCTTAATCGATTCAGTTAGAGCGTCGGCACCGTTCTTCCTCTCATACCCAGGTGGAGGATAAGGAAAGCATCGAGACATCGTTCAGGACGTAACAATACAATCGCCTCAGAATAACAAGAACAAAGCTTATCAACACTGTGTAGTCAACCACAATCTTCTGCTGATCGTCTGCAAGAGGGAAAGTTTGGGCAAATTTTCTCCGTCCAGAAATAGATGCAATCAACCCTAATAACAAAAAATTCTAGGGGTTAAGCTCGTCTAGAAAAAACGCATCGGACCGAAAATCCACCGGAAGATCATTCAAATAGAGATCAACAGAAATCTTGGCGCAATAATAGAAGCCCTACCAGGGTTAGGGTTTCCAAATCGCGAGAGAGAAAAGATATATGAAGAAACACCTTGGTATTTTCCCTGGAATGCCCGACTAGGGGTATATATAGCCGCAAGGTCGTCCCGCTTCTTACGGCACGCTCTGTTTTTTACCTTTTAGCCCTTTCATCCCACAAATTCACAAAACCTGCTGAGCTGAAATCCTTGCCAGGGCCCAAGGCTGCAAGTCGGGCCGGATTGGGTGGGGCTCGGGTTAACTCTACTTTGGGCTGGCCCGATATCTCTACACTTCTTTACCCAATTTTCGTATTTCCTAAATTTAAGCGATGTACTTAATTTCTTCGCCTAATTCTTTTTAATAAAAAAACCTAACTAATATGAGCCCTATCCCATATGTCCATTGAGCAAACATAAGATAAAGCGTGTGTTTAGTTGCAATGCAAATAAATTTAAACTGATGCAAAATCATGCTAGTGTAAATGATTTGAGTGTAAATTTTGACTTATTTTTATTTTAAATTTTAGCTCATTTTGTTTGATTGCAGTGCAAATGAAGTAAATTAAGACATGAAGCAGAATAAAGTAAAACCCAAATCAAAATTACACAAGAATTTGCAATTTTTACATTTGCACTCTCATGCATTTGTACTAATGCAAATAAATTTACACTGCAACAAAACACAACCTAAGGGAAAATTTTATACCCAAGTCCAGAAAAAAAAAAAAAAAACTAATAATGCCACACACTCTACCCATGTTTATGGAAGTGATACCAATACAATCGTGTTCCACCTAGACCTAGACCCTTGCGAAAAGAGCTAAATGGTTGTTTTCTCTCACACCATTAGCTCTCCCAAATGAAATTGGTCATTCGACTTTTATCCATTCTTCCTTCCTGCCCTCTCTCCAAAACCGAGCCCATATTTCCTCTCTCTCTCTAATTAGCATGAAGAATGACATCACCGTCAAGTATTTATTCCTTCCCTTTGCGTTCCTAAACTAAGGGTGTCAATGGACCGGTTTTGGATTGGACTCCACCAGTCCAAAATCAATTTGGATGAATTGGACGGACCAACAAGGCATATTGGATCGGACCAATCCAATTCAAAATATTTATTAGATTGGATCGGACTGGTTTCGTCCATAATAAATTTATATTGGATTGGGTTGGATTAAACCAATATCCGGTCCATTGATATAAGATAAAGATATAGGTGACAATGAATTGGGTTTAGATTGAAATCAATCTAAATTAGAACAAATTGGACTGTTCCAAAATGATCCAAAATATTCATTGGATTGGATTGAACCTGGTCCATTTATAATAGACTCACATTGTACTGGATCCGATTAGACCAAATCTAGTCCAATTGGCACCCCTATCTAAAACCAAAACATAGGTATTTTGGTTTTCACTTTTCATCCTCTGCCATGATAGATCGAAATTCTAACTAGTTAATAGCAGTGGGTTCACAACCAATGGTGGGAGAGATACATCATCGGATGATTGGTATCGATTGCTTGCACAAATGGATCAAATAATAGTAAGAATGATATCAATTGGCTTTCTAGTCCAACATTTCTTCCTCTTAATGAAATCAATTGCCTGTACATCTAATAACAGTAGAAATGCTGATGAAGTTGAATGATTTCAGTTGGTTTTCAATCCCACTATGTTGTCGTTCATGCAGTAAATAGTTGGCTTTCTAGTCCAGAAAAGGGTTTACCCCTGCTTTTCTTATCTGTACAATCAAAGGGGCATAATGCCTGAATTCGTCTAGTTTACATCCTATTTTGCTAATGAATACAGTTGAAGAACTGTGGTATGCTGAATTTGGGTCGTTCTTCATCTAATGGTGATGCTTACAAGATGGCTATCCAAGTAGGAGAAAAGCTTTTGAAAGATGTATCAAGGTGTATAAAGCAAGCAACCGTTGAGCAATCATCTATATCATTTGATGGATCTCTTTACATAGATCTTGATGGTACACAAGTTGAAACTACTAACATACAAATTCAAGTATTCTAGTTCTACGGGAGATGGGCTTGTAAAACATGTGAAAGGATTTAACCACGAGTTTTCCAATGTGCACTCCTCAAAAAAAAGGTCAAAAAATGCCTTACAGAAAGTGATAGACAAGAGAAAAAGACCAAAGAAGGACCAATCTATTGAAAAATGCACTACACAAGTATTTTCTAATTTATTTAATTTGATTTCTTTAGAACTTTACTAATTGATTATTGTTGCTTTAAGCATGTAAAGATGGAGGGAATTTGAACCATTTAGCCAATAAGAATATGACAAAAGAGCAAGAATCTAACCACTCTATAACATCCACACAAGTATGGAAATTTGATGAGGTTAGGCATCAAAATTTTCTAAATCTTGCATTGAAACCCTTCTAAAACTCTTATAATATAAGGCCAAAGGTTTTGGGAAACTATTGCAAGTAGAGGTGAATCACAAAACACTATTCCAAATGTTATTCATGTAAGCTAGTTGTGGGCACCGGAAAGTGACCCACTTCGTGGCTGAACTACTGGAGTCACCACCCATCATAGTAGAGAAAGGGAGTGATGGGACTCCCGGTGTTCAAACTAAATAGCTTTTGATTTATGGTGACTCCGTCATCAAAATAAGGCAATCCGAGTAACCTAGGAAGAGGAGAGGGAAGGTGTTAGGCACCCCTCTCCCCTGTCACAGCGAATGTCACTTCCTCTTAACCGAAATAGCAAGGCTGAATTCAATCAAACAAGTAGCAGTTTTTGAAACACTTAACAATACAGAGTGAAAAATGCTCTAGAAAACTCAATTTTGCTATTGAATTTGGTGATAGTTTGACCTATCTATCGGCTACCACCATTATCAAATATTTATTTATTTATTTGTTCATTGGTTTCTAGTTTAACCACAAAATGCTTAACCAAAATTGATTTAATCTGAACTCATTTGGTATCATCTTCCCCGACTCCCAAGTATTCATATTGGAAGCCAAATGGAGAAAATCTACATGCTCTCCAAATTCCATGTGATACTATACAAGTTATGGGAAGTAAGGAATAAATGGATCTTTCAAAAGAAAAAAAAATCACCCCTTGAGAATCATTGAATCATCCTGCAACATCCTCGAAGAATATCCAGAAATTGCAAAAGAAGAGAATGAGCACCTTGACATAAGGTCAAATCCAGTCACTCCCTCGTATACCTTGTTCACAGACGACTCATTTGATGAAAAATCAGGTCATCCAGAAATTGGATATGTACTCAAGAGTTCAAAATCAAAAGCAATCTAGGAAGCACAAGGAATAGCATGCAAAGAAAATGGGAGCAATGATGCAAAAATTAGAGCTCTAATTCAAGGTTTGGAATCAGCAATCCGTCACAATTGCAATCATTTACTGGTTTGCTTAGATACTGAAGGACAGGTCAAAAAACTCAAGAACCATTCTCTTGATCGCTCATGGGTGGATCAACTTCACTAGGGTACCATTCAAGCCAAGACACAACACTTTCAGTCAATAGAATTTGTATATATCCCTCGTACAAAAAACAAACTAGCTCACGTCTTAGCATACAAAGCTTGTTTTCATGGAGAAACAGAAAGACACCATGTTCTAGATTATTCTGATGTACAAGATTTGAATTAATAATTGAACAAGAAACTTTACCAGCAAAAAAAAAATAAAAAAAGTATTCATATTGAAGGCCAATGAGTGTAACAATATTGGATTCCCCCCTTCATGCTTCTCTTGGCACCAATCAGCTACTGTTCATCGAATTAGGAGAGGGGCAAAGACTTGGTTGAGTTCGGATTCAAGAGTCACAATTCTAGAAGCACCAGGGCACCATTCTCTTTCGTATTGAGCTTCAACGAATGGGGTGGTACTGGGAATTTCCCGTCACACCTTTCCTTTAGTCAATAACCTACTTGGGGAGGACGAGAACCCTGATGTCTATCACCCCTAAACCGTTCTAGCAATTTGTTTCAGGCAACAGAGAAAATAATAATAATAATAATAATTGATGCAGCACGATCTGGGCACTCCTAGCTGGCTGAAACTTGGCTCCTAGCTGTAGCAGATGGCACCTGAGATGAAAAGGAACGTGAAGGGTTCCCGGGGAGCTCTCTCGGCGGGAACACTCCGATGGCTAAGTTAGAACTCTGAGGAAAACTCAAAGAAGACACAGAGAGTTAAGAGTGCTGAAAGTGCTAGCTTCAATACCTTTGCTTCGTGAGGATTGGGGTCCTTTTATATCGGAGCTCAGTCACATCAGGCGTAACCGCCACTGCCCTAGCCGTTACTGCCAGGGCTGGGGTGGCAGGTGCAGGCTGCTGCTGCAGGGTACGGACTCGTCAGGCATGCCATGCTTTTCAGAGACGGAAGGCAAAACGCCACCTGGCAAGGGATGTATGCGCTGCCACCGGATCCGACAGGTACGGATGTCAGGCAGATCTCCCCTGCAGGCTGTCGAGCTACTGTGCACCGAACCACTTGGGGCTGGTTTGCCTCGGCACCGAGGTGCTCGCACCGGAGGCGAGCCTTAAGCAAGTACGAACAGGAGTCTTGACAGTGCTGTCCCGAGGTGTTTCTCCCTCGGGACACTTAGCCAAAAGTCGGGGTGCTCCCTTCTTAGGAAGGGAGAGCTCGGAGTCCCTTAGGAGGAGCTTGGGTCTCAAGGGGAGCTCGGGTCCCTTTGCACGGGGGGAGCTCGGGGCGCTCCACCCTCAGGCTCGAGGCGAGCTGGGCCTTGCTTCTCGGCGAG